TCAGATGCATCTGCAAGCCTTGCAATGGCATCAACTGATGCCTGTTCATGTTCTCGCAACATAATATGATATAATAGATTACTTTAATGGTGTTATAAATAACAGAAATGAAATTATTACTTTTTTTAGAAAAAAGCATACATTCAGAATCTTACCTTAAGCATCTTCTTTGCATTCTCAAGCTCACGGGAATCTGGATGACTCGTGTCAATTACCCTTTCCACCTGATAGAGATCATACGAGAAACATCAGTAAACATGTTTTTATATTACATTCACTGTGCAGTGAAAACTTATTCTTGGTAGATTGTCTAGCAATGTAAAGATTTCAGTTTTGGGTGGTACAACGGCCATGTTTGGTTTGGATGCATATGGATTAGACGCCTTCTTCTCCAAGGATTAGGATTTACATTCTTTATATTTTTATTTGAGATACAATTCCTGCAAATCAAAGAGAAAGAGAATAGGTCATTCAGGACAATGATATGCAAAAGGAAGCAAACTATATTAGCAAATTTCAGCAGCAACTCCAACCTTTGAATTAATTACTACTACAAACTATAGTTCATGCATTGATATAACAAAAACCTTCAATCTAATAAGGATTTTATCCAGGCTGGTCTCCTTCCACCTACAATAAGAGAACTTTAAACACATTCACCACCAGCCTTCAGCTATGTCCAGTTATTTTCTGCTTATATTCTCATTCAAGTCTTATTCTCACATGGCTTAGTAGACAAACTGGACTCATCAACAAGAACCTTCAATCTAACCCTCACAATCAATTAAATACAAAATTATCTCGGAAAAAAAAATCTAATAGACTCATTCAGAACTGAAGATGAGTGCTTAACTGATAAGATTACATTAAAGCATGTACTGTTTTCTCTAAACTTAAGATGTTCATTAACTCTTGTATTAGTTAAAGTAAGTTGTTTGAGGGTATAATTTAACAGGAAACTTGTGAATTCCAGCTAAGGCATTTATTGGAAAGAATGTACTAATACAGTATGCCTGCGCCGGGACACACGAGTAAGATTCATTTTGAAAATACAGGTGATGTTACGTAGACACATGGGTAAACTACAACTCAATACAAACAGATCCACTAACTAGACAAATAAAGAGTTAGTTCGTGCTTCACATCAACAAATGAAGGATGTAAGGCGAGATTTACAAGTCCTAAAACCAAAATAACTGCACATAAAAGGAAGAAAAACACATCTCGCCTTAAAGTCCTAAAACTAAAACAAGTTCACATAGAAGGAAGAAAAACACATCTATTACCAATTTGCAGTTAGATATTCGTCCTGCAAGGATGAAAACCTGAAATTGAAGCAAAAGAATTCCAAGCCAGTACTGGTCCTTCTTGAAGAAGCAAGTGTGCCACATGTTCTACGAAACTAGATAAAAAGATTTCGGTCTAATGCTTCCCCATGAAAATGATAAAAATACACAGTAGGTACCTTATTTGCAACTAATTGTGGAAGTCAACTCCCGACTAATCCACATAGCAAAGGGCCAGCTAAAAAAAAAGCCAGAAATGGCCAGTCTTAAATCAAGGAAGCAATATCAAAGAGCTAAAGCTCTAAAAGTACCAATCCTTGAACCCAGCAACCTTGAGATAAATGTTTATACTCACCCAAAAGGCAGCAAATAAGGATCGGTAGATGAAAGTTTTCTATATATCAAACTCCAAAACAGCCAGTCTCAACTCTCTTAACAAGGAGTCTGCACCAATATCAAAGAGCTGGAGTTTTTCTGTACATATGAATCATTAGTTAAAAGTACTTCCGTAAAAGCGTAGCTACCATATTATCCAGCTTGAGAGATATTAGTCCAGCATGGTAAGGACGTAGTTTCTGCGACTAGATGATGAATGACAACCCAAGTATGCTCCCACACAACCAATATATGAATCCATAAACTAGTCCCATTAAAATGATTCTTATCTCCAAAGCAATCCTCAAGAGGCTTGCTAACAATTCATCAATTGCTAATAAATAATTAACAATCTGCTATAGCATCTCCTAAATGTGTATGGTAAACCTTCCAGATCTGCTTGTTTCAGAAGCCCGATCTGAAATTATCAATGAATAAATTGCCAACTTATTCCTCTTAATCTTACAGGACACTATCGACATAGTTTTTTACATCAATAGATTAAAAACAAAAAGAACTATCAAAACCTCAGTTCATTAAACCTCGAGCAAACAGAAACAATACCTAAAGAAGCATCAAAACCAAAATTGATCCAAGAGCAAAGAGAACAACATCTAAGAAGCATCAAAACCAGTCAATACAAATAATTAAAAAGAAAAATCCATCAGACATCTTTGATAATAAAAAAGGATCAATAACAAAAGCACCTAAGAAAAGGGCAGCAAAATTAGAAACCTAGGAATCAAGCCATGCACAAAAACGAATGATCAAATAGCAAAATCAAGCAATCAAAAGATATCAACACATACATATAGATATACAAGTATTTACCTGCTATCAAGAGAATCTGTGTACCAGACGAGTTTTCGAGAGACCTATCTGCAGAAACACCTTGAATTTGGAAAGAGCCAGCGAGAAGCACCCTCTATGGATCTATCCATAACCTCTGAAGGTCATCGGCGGACAGAATAACCTTGACACCATCTATTAATGCAGCAAAATTTTGCCTTCGTTGCGGTTGTTGGAGAGGTGGATTTGATTCTGAAACTCTCTTGCTTGGAAAGCGACGCCATTGGCGGATTGTATTTTGTACGTGATTCAATGGAATCCGTTGTTGTCATGATAAGGGAGAAGGTTAGAGAGAGAGAGAGACAGAGAAAGAGAGAGAGAGGCGTTGAAATAGTGGAGAGATGAATTGAGGCTGTGAAAAGAGAAAAAAGAAACAGAAACGGATATTTTACGAGGGAGGAGAATTATGGCGTATTTTGGAGAAATGGTGTCCCACCCGCTACTGTTTTATTGTAAAAGAACAAAAAAAGAAAAAGGTTCTTATAATGCTTAACAAACTCTCAATATTTTTTTTAAAAAATAAAAATGACGTAATAAATTACGTTTCTATCTTTCCCCTCCATATTGAACTAAAATTTTTGTGCTCCCTTTAAACTTCACAAATTTAAAAATTTGTTCCTAATCTTTAATTCAACGTAATTTAAATTTAATTTATTAATATATTATATTAAATTTCGTCATAATCGTATTTCTTTAAGTGGAGTAGTCATAATTTATATATTTTAATTATTTAATATATATTATGTATAAAATTGTTTTCAGATTTACAAAGTAAGCCAGGGATATGTTTCCTTTATATAGAATATAAGTAGCTTTTATCTCAAGCAATGCAAGTGGCTTCACAGAAATTTTTATGTATATATGTATATGTATGTGTGTGTGTGTGTGTATATATATATATATATATTGTAGTTTCCCATTTTAAAAGCTTGTTTGGGTTCCCACAAGCAGTGGTTAAAACTTGGAAGACAAAAGGAAATATCTATCTATTTTCACTTGTGTTGTGATGGGCACAAGTCAATTCTCAGCTCCACAGGAGAGAATGAAAGAGAAGGAGACCTGAAATTAGAAGCAAAATCTAACCCAATCTAAACCGAGGTAGTATTACAAAACTACAGGCCACATATTTTTTCAATACAAAATAATCATATAATCATCAGGCAATTACCTCCTAGACCGTTTCTTTAAATGTCCCGAAGAACCTGCCTCTGTTTCACCACCTTCCCTACCTCGCTTACCCGCCATTGCAGCAGGAGTTGAGGCTGCCGCGGCTGCTCTCTTCGGCGGCCTTCCAATGCTTTTCTTTGTCGAGCTTCCGTTCTCCTTCACGCTCTTCCCGATCGATGAATTGCGCGGTGTTTGATTTTTTCTCGAATCCCCTTTACTATTGCCATTGCCGTTGTTGTTTTTCTTCTGCTCACCTCCTACTTTACCTTTATCAGAACTTGCAGCAGAGCTACTCAATAATGAGGCGTTATGGGGTGAACCGCTCTGTTTCATTCTGTTCAAGAAATTTGCAGCACTTTGCTTCTTTGTGTTGGAAGTTACATTGTTCTTCTTGTCTTTTTCCGCCTTTTTAGACTCTGAGCTTTCGTTGGAAGACCCTCCTTTGCTTGAAGATACAATGTTGGTGTTTATATCTGCCTGCTTCTTTGTTTTCACGCTGTTCTTGACGTTGTTGTTGGGTTGTTTGGTGTTGGCAGAAGATCTTTCTCTCGTTCTTTTCCTTGTCACACGAGGCTCTTCAGTTTTCCAGTCGAGGACAAGCTTCTCATCCAACAATGGGACTGTTTGAGATCTTTTCTTGTCCGGTCCTGAAGATGATGTTGATGCCTTGGCGGTGATTGAGCTTCGTTTTCGACAAGCGATAATGGGGACTGAGATTCTTGGCTTCAGAACTAGGGGATGTGATGGTTCTGTATCTGGGTTTAGAGGTTTTGCTTCTGGGGAGATTTGTTCTTTTGAGGATGAAGTCGATTTGGGAATCTTGAGAGGGATTTCTTTTAAAACAAGCTTTCTAAGCTCCACAGCAGCTTTAAATTCTGAGCATCTCTTGTCATAGAACAGAATAGCATTGCTGAAGAGAAGCAGCAAATCGCGGAAGAACTTGATGTTGCAGCCTGAATATGAATCTTGTTCGACGTGGATTCGAATTGTTTCGAGGTCTAAGTGTTGGCGAATTAAATCTTTGTACTTGGGTGTTTCCTGCGGCAGGCAAATTTTCCAAAACCATAGATCATAATTACCTCATGGAGAATAAACATGCACAAATTACTTTCATGTTTTGCCATATTCCAAAAACAAGCATCAAAACACAAATATGCAGCGTCGCATATAACACCAGCTGGTTGTTAAGATGCATAAGAGCCTGAAGAGACCACTTACAAATTGTAAAAGAGAAAGCAAGTACACATGCAGAAAATAAAAAAAAATCCAAGATAATATTTAGAGATAAATTATACTCTTACAATATAATATATTTATACCGAACAAAAGTAAAAACTAACTCTAATACATAATATATAATATATTTTTAGCTTGGTTGGAGTTGTTGCTACTTGATTGTAGATTGCATATAAATATTTTTTTGTATACAAGAATACATCCTGACTTCGCTATAAATAAGAGTTGAATTATTTTTATATTAAACTATGACTTAAATAAACGCAGAATCAAATTGAATTTGATGATACTGCGTATTATTTCAGGAATCAAAATTTAGGTACAGGGTACAGAGTACACCATGCCACCTTAAACACATGACCCCCTTTTTACTGAAGAAGGAAATGGCCACGTGTATCAGACATGACCTCCACAAATTTCCAAGTTTTTTTTTTTTAATTGCTGGTCATACCTACCACCCCCTGGTGGATGATTTTTTTTTTTCCTATTCCACAAAATCAAGTGGAAAATAAAAGCCTAAGAGGGTAGATATGTAAATAATAAAAAAAATTTGGGGGGAGGGTGGCGGGGGACCCACTAATTTCCATTCTATCTGTCATCTATGGCCATGATTAAAGAACCTTTGCAGTCAACATGCACCATCATTTACGGACGACCATACGATCCATACCCTGCACCAGCGAGGAGCCTAAAAATACCCACAATTGGAATTTCCTTTTTTTTTTTTTTAATTCTTAATGAAAAATACTACTAATGGGTTTATCCACGTAACGTTCAGAGCCCAAATGTCTCGACTACAGAAATCAACCATTATGACACGGTAACTGTTTATCGTAAAGGTCACCGCCACCTAATAATTCGGAGCCACGTCAGCGCCGAATTGGATCTATAACGCTGACGGTGATATTTCAACTCACCCACGTAGCACCCAATTAAAACTCCTTTTTTTTTTGTGTGTTTGTTAAAAATATTTAAATAAAATTAAAATTAAAAAAAAAAATGGAGATTTTCATTTTGTTTACCTGGCTTTCGAGCCGGCGCTCGAAGATGGAGCCAAACTTGTGCGACCGGAGGATCTCGAGGAAATCAACCAACGGCTTAGATTCAACAGATACCCGCTTGATGGCGGGAGATTGATCCTCGCTGTCCGGTTCGACCGGTTCCTTGCCTTTCTTCTCCTTCCTCGCTAAGCTAGCCGAGCTCTGCACGTCACTACCCTCTCCTCCTCCCCCTTCCCCACCACTGAGCGACTCGGCCACCGAGTCAAAGAACTCATTTGACTCACCAGCTTCTCTCTCCGGATCAACTATTTCCAAGTTTTCCGCCGATTCTTTCGCCATACTGTTACAGCTACCGTTGTAGGAATCCTCCCCGAGTATCCCGCCGTTTCCAGCCGTCCGGCTCGGTTCTTTTACGGGATCGACCGGTTCCCGTCCTTTTTCGGCCTCTTCCTGACCGGTTCCGCGCTTCTTGCCTTTCGGATCTGTCGAGTTGGATGCATTCATGGACCGGTTCTCCGGGTCTGATTCGGCACCGGAAACGACTTCGCCGGCGACGGTCTCCGGTGGACAATCTATTTCTTTCTTTTCTTCATTTGATAACTCAACGGCCTTTTCCAGATCGGATCTCTCTGTTCCCTTCTCCTTCTCCCTCAAGCTACGTTCCCTCTCCTCTTCCAGACTCTTGACCTTCAATTGCAAAGACCTATACAATATAACAGAATATGTTGTAAACTCCTGAAAAAGTGATGAACTAAAACAGATTTCCTAAAATGATATTTCAACAAAAACTTATTATGTTTATTATGGATGTACACGATGGAAAGATCATAACGTTCAACTTCGCGTCTGAGTTCAGCGACACGGAGCTGTCTCAACTCCTCGAGCCAAGGAACGTTTCCAATCTCAGTGGTGGCTTTATCATCGTCGCCGATCGGAGCGTTGTCGTTTCTGGCGAAGCGGCTCCTTAGGTCGATGTATTTCTGTTTACACGATAGAGGGGTTAGAGAAGAGAGCGTTGAGCTCCGCTTCTGAACTTCCATGGCTACAGAGTCCCAGCTGTCGGCGCCGTACCGATGAACGGCGCAAGCCAGCAGAAGCTCTTCCCATGTTCCCCATGTTTGTTTCTCGGAAACGTTATCTGGCTTAGCCATGAAAATTGTTTACTCACGGTTCATTCATTATCTTTCTCCTCTAAATTTTTCTCTGCAATTCGTTCGTTTCCTAGGACTCGTCTTCCCTCTGTATTTATAATTTCATTTACATAAATAAGATATATACGTGAATATATATATATATATATATATATATACACACACACACAGATTTTACTTTTTCCGGCTCGGCTTATATTAGGGGCACTGATCTCTAGGGTTTTGTTCGAGTGCAACGGGGACTCCTATTTATGTTTTTAAATTACTAATTTACCCTATCATTATACGAATTATTCTGTTATATATAAAATAACAATTCCCAATTTTCTCTATAAAAAAATCCCAAATTTAATCCTTATTTTTAAAAATAATTTTAAATAAAATATTAAAATTTCACTTTAAATCTTTACTCTCATAAATAATAATTCAATAAATAAATAATTTAAAAAAATCAAAACTTCAATAAATTCATCAATTATATTTTTTAAATGTATCTGTAACGTAATTATAATTTTTATATATAAATAAAAAATTTAAAAATAAAATAAAATGTTCACATTAAATAATAAGAACAAAAATTAACTTAGAAAAATTTTAAAAATAAGTCTAGTTAAAGTAATTATTTTCAAATATTTTATAATATCTAACTCATAAATAAAACACATTTAAGTAATTATTTTTATATGTATATTATTTTATGTCAAAAACAATTTATCAATAAATAAATATAAGAAAAATTACCGATTTTTTTATATATTATTAAATAATTGAATTTTAATTACTAATCTTAAATCTTTAAAAAATTGTTTTAATTTTCAATAGTAAATTTAATATACTTTCTAATAAGATTATCTTTTTAATATAACTAAATCTCATATATACGTATTACATTTTAAATATTTTTAAAATATATTTTTTGATAATTTTAGTTAGATTTGTCACTAGAATATCTATTTTTAACATAAATATATTTATTTTTATTTTATGTTACTAATAAATATTGATTAAGTTATTGTTAAAATAGATATAACGAATATTTTTACATTAAAAAATATTATAAATTAAAGATAAGATACGAATTTAAATTTGTAATCGATTAATAATTAATAAGGAAAAAATATATTTTGTACTATATCAAGTTTAAGTTTAAGTAAATTACTTATAGAAATTTTAATTAGTGAAAAAAAATTAAAAATACAATAGACACTGTTTTACCTTTTCACTATTGAAAAAGGATAAGTATTCCCCGTAGGAAAGTGCATGCTCTTTTTTTTTTTTTTACCCTTTTCTTCCATAATGGCTTTTGCATCGTAACTAAAAAGAATAATTGTAATAGGACGAAATACTCGGTGAGTTTTTTTTTTTTAAATAGTATGTATTAAATATATATTTATTTTACTAACAGATTCGAATTCGTAACTATAGATTATAATATACGATATCTTGTAACTTATACGAGAGTATATCGATTAATATTAAATTTAAAATTTGTAATTTCAGATAAAATCATGATATCCTTTTTTATCAGATCTAATTTATTAATATATTAATTGATCTGTAACGATTAAATTAGATTATATTTCAACAAATATATTATATTTTTAATAAAATAAACATTGGGTCATGTACATTTATAATGTACTTATAATCTTCGATTTATTGAAATTAAAATTTTAATTTATTAATATTTATAAAATTATAATGATCAAATTATACTATATTTTTTAAAAAAATTTATTATATTTTTGGACACGACGTAATTTTATTTTTCAAAGAAAAAATGAATTACTAGGAACAAGTCACCAAACAAAGCCTTATTATTATTAATGTAAGCAATTTACAATATGCATTACCCACATGTATGAAATGAGATTAATTGAAGTGATTAAGGAAAACGATACTGTATTTAAATTACTACCAAAACTAGAACTCACAAAACTGAGAATTTCCATTTTAAATCAAACCGAACAGGACAACTAAACCAGCTGTTACAGATTCATTTCGACAAATTCAAGCTCCGGTAGCACCCTTCAGCGCCTTCATCAACTCCTCACTCACGTCTCCCTCTGCTGGCTTCGCATCCATATCCGACACCGTTTTAAATCTCTTCTCACTGTTTTTCACGTCGGGTTTGGATTTATTTCCGCTTCTCTCGGGTTTCCGATACCTCGGCGGACTGGAATCGACGGTCAACGATGCTGACTTCCCGCCGGTGATTTCTTGATGGAGTTCCTCCACGGCTTTCCTTAACAACCCATTCTCGGCTTGCAAAACAGCCAGCTGACGGTTCATCATCAAGCAAGCCTCGGCCACGCCAGCATTGCCCGAACCCGATTCCGGACCCGCATTATTTCTACTTTTGGATCGATTAGAATCGGGACCGTCCACGTGTTCGATCCCGATTTTGTTCATAACCAGGAAGGGGATTTTCCTAAACGAGAACCCGGCTGTCGGATCGTAGCTCTTCATCTCCGCCGGAACCCTAACTCCCCACCGGAAATTCACCACCGCGCGTTCCTTAACCGGCAGCGCCGTCCTCGCTGCCATCTCCACGCCAGAGAATAACCCTGCGATGTCTCCGGCCGACGTTGATGGCAAGACGATAATCTTCTTAGCAGCCGAGAAGCTCCCTATTCCTCCTCCGCCATTGACGGCCGGCGACTCCACAACCTCAATCGCCGAATCGTCGTCTGCGACGGCACCCTTCATGGACCTCGCCTTCCTATCAAAGACTGAGGAGTGCGACTTTTTAATCGAAAAATCACCGAACTGAGGCTTGAAATGGAGCATGAAGGTAGGGTTTGCCCTGCCAAGGAGGTTGAACTCGGCGCTCATGAGCATGGAGCTGGAAAACGGCGATCCAAAAGATCCAGTCCCGGTTTTGACAACGAGGGAGAAAGGGTTCCGTGTGTCATTAGGCCGGTAGGCGATTTTGATCGAGGGTCCAGACTCGAAGAAAGTAGCGAGATTAAGAGTGAGCTCCTTGGATTCTCCGGCGACGATCCCAGATTGGAAGGGGAACCCCAATATATTAAGCGGCACTTTAGCTCTAAACAGAGGCTTCTGCTCTTCACGGAACTTCAAAGAAGCTTTCATCTTCTTCACCAACGAAACGTTTCTGACTTGAATCTCTTGAGATTTAAACTAGAAATTGGGCTGATTTATATAAATTTCATCTGATCATATGTTTTTGGTTTGAGAGGGAGAAAATTATGAATTTAGCGGAGATTCCGCCAAAATAATTCAGCTGGATTTGGGGGAATTCAGAGTTTCAGTGTCTTGTTTAGAGGTTTTTGTTTTGCTAATCAAGTATTGCCCTTGGTTTTTCAGAAAACGGCAAAAAGGGAGTCTTGGTTTTATTGTAATTCTAGAAAAAACGAGGGGTATGAATTTATGGTTGGGGTGTAGATTAACCGGTTAACTTTGTGCGCCAGGTGGGCGACCCTCCAGCCATTAAAATAAATATTTTGTTTTTTTTTGTGAAATTCGAAATTTAAAAATTGAAATTTTCTGAATTTTGCGGACTCCTAACTGACGAGTTCACTTGGTGGCTTGATAATTGATTGACTCACCTGCGAGTCATCTAACATATAAGACAGCCTATCAGCCGTCGACATGTTTCAGACTTGAAGTCCCTCGAGTTCACGGATCACAGCCGTCCGTTTGTATGAATCAGCAGTAGATCTCTCTCTCAAAAGAACAAAAAGAAGGAAAAAGAAAAATATTCAAACTTCAACAGCACCGATCTCTGTGCTACTAAATGTACATTTAGCAAATCTTGAATTCCCTTCTCAAAAACTCACTGCCCAAATTTGAATTTTAGGGTTTATTTACTTCCAACTCCTAAATTCAAAAAGAGAATTTCTTCTAGGGTTTTTTTTTTTTCGGTTCCTCCAACTCCTTGATTCATCTTTGTTTCGCTCCTTCACCATTCTTTTTTCTAGAATAACGTTGAGGAAAATGAAAAGAAACCGGAGACCCGTCGTCAAACGTGTAAAGAGCGAATGCGTTGGTACTAGCAGTAGCAACCCTGACAACAATTCAGGGCGCGATGCCGGTGAAGATGGAAGAGCTACAAGCGATTCCTGCAATGAGAGTGTTGCCGATCGTAGAGTTCTTCGGTCTCGCTATCTTGCCCTCAAGACTCTTATTCTTGGTAGTTTAATTTGTTTTATTTCTTTGTTGTCAGCCTTAGTCTTTTGGATTGTCTTTTTGCCTTCGTTATTCGTCTATGGATTTAGTGGTGGAAATGAGCGATTTGCGTTCTGAATGTTGAACATTTTGTTCTGAATTAGGATTTTAAGTTCTGAATGTTGAACATTTTGTTTTGTTTCTTTTTTGTTTAATTCATTTTTAGTTCATGAGAAATAGACTACTGCAGTTGGTTGAGTACCCCTGATAAAAATGTTTAAGTTAACATTAGTTTGATAAAATAATTGTTCCAGCAACATTTGAAGTTTGAAGGTTTTCCTTGTTAATTGATTGTGCAGATAAAAGAGAAGAAATCGTAAGAGAAGATAAGTTTGACTCAATCTTTAACGAAGTGGAGAGCTTACACCAGCTAGGTATTGAATTATATGATCATTTTCTAACACGATTATTATAGTCAATATTTTTCTTCTTGTTTTCCTTTTTGTTTTTAGTTTCCTTTTCTCTTTACATTGCATGTAACATTCGAAACCTGCGAAATTTTTGCAACATGTATGTAATTACTGATCTTAGAGGTAGCTTTAGTAAGTACTTAGTTGAATGTTGAATTGTCATCAGAAAAGTTGTAAAAGGAGGGAAGTGGATATGGTGGATTGCAGATTCTGTTGTTCCCCCCCTTTTTTCTTGCTACGGTTGTGGCATCCACTTAGAATAAATGCTTTTTCTTTGTTTTTTGTTTCTTCATGCCTCACTTTGGAGACCTGTTCTCTCGACTTGAGAGAAGATAATTTTCGGCTTTTGTTCTTTCATTTTATATTTCTTATTTTCTATATGACTCTATTCAAGTCGGTACCAGCTATCATAAATGGGCAAATTTTGCCTTGTTGTCTTAATATTACGTTTTGTTCATGTTGTTTCATTCTATGTACCTGGGTTTTTCTTCTGATGCAAGAAGATTTTAGAGCTCACTCTGATTTTATATAACCAATCTACGTCTATATCTTCAGTACAGAAACCAAGGGAACAGGTTGCAGATGCAGAGGCCCTCTTGGACATTACAAACACGTTGGTAACTTCTGTCAAGGCACAAAACAATGAAGGGATAACTGTTCCGGATTTTGTTTCTTGTCTTCTTAGAGACTTTGGGCAAAATGGTGGACCAAGCAGTAGCGCAGAGAACGGAAGGACCCTAATAGATTGGATAAGTATTGGAGTTGTTGTCTCACATGCTTTTAGGAGTAGCCCTGGATGCAGTACCATGTAATGGCTGTGAAACTAATCTCTTTCCGTTACATTTTTGCATATTATCTGTATTTAGATGCATTTATTCTTTAGATTTTTCAAATAAATATTTGATTGTCAACGTAACTCCTTCAGGATTGGGCCTATGGATATTGAAGTAAAGCAACGAAAGTCTGTGCGGAGAAAACACGTGAAACCCACAGAAAGTTCTCGCCCTGCAGAGGTAAGAGTTGCTTATTCAATCTGCGTAATTTCTTTCTTAGAAGAATAGCAGAATCTATCAATGATTTTCAGTGAATAGTCTCATGTTAGAGTTCGTAATTCACTAACTTTTCCCCAATCCTGTCTATGAAATATTGGTATACATTTTGATGGTTGTGTACCTTGGTTTTAGGTCAAGGTAAAGTTACTTTCTGTCTTAGCGTGTAAAAACTTCTTTACCTGAATTTCCCTTGTCCATTTTTTATCCACAATTTTGTTTTTTATCTGCTTGGAAATCTAGTTCTAGGAGCATTATATTTAATCAACTGTAGTAAAATGTATATATCTGGATTAATTAGTTATTTTAACTTATTAGTATTATCAATATTTTTTGGGTTTTCTCTCACCTTTAGTTAAGTTTCAATTTTAAGTTTTAATATTTACATTGGCTATACGTAAATTTGTGCAGGTTGATGAGACTGTCACAGAGAAGAGGTCAGATACCGACAGAAATATGGCAATCATGTTTGATATTTTAAGGAAGAACAAGAGAGTTAGACTTGAAAATTTACTCTTGAATAGAAATTCTTTTGCACAAACGGTAGAAAATTTATTTGCCCTATCATTTTTGGTCAAGGATGGGCGTGCCGAAATAAAGGTGGATGACAAGGGCGGTCATTTAGTTTGTAAGATCCTTTTCAACCTCACTCCCATTTCTTTTCAAGCTCAGACAATTTTCTAAAATTATTTTCCGCATCCAAATGTCAGTGCCGAGGAATGCTCCTGGCGCCAGTGTTGTTGCATCTGGAGAAGTTGCTTATAGCCATTTCATCTTCAGATTTGATTTCAAGGACTGGAAGGTAAATGGATAAGATGCTTAGTAAAATATATATTTTTTTTCTCAGTTTACGCTTTCCCCAAAAGAGTTGCTATTAAACAATACGTAACTAATATCTCGTTAAATTTTAACACAGATGTTGGCCATAATAAGCAAACGGGCTATTATTTTATAACTTCCCGTGATTGTTTTGGTGAATTCTGCTGGATTTTTGGAACTTACTCTTTTGTACTGCTGTGAATTTGCTTTCCATATGTCCCGCTAAACACGAGGAAAACTTTGTTGAATTTACAGTTGATGACATCTTATGTTAAAACTGGTGAGGAGCTCATGCCACATCGGAATCAGGTAGGCATATCAAGCCAATGTCAAGCAGATCATCGGAATCAGGTAGGCATATCGAGTCAATGTCAAGCAGATTCAGTATGTCAGGTATCTGATGAAACAGCTCCCACAACACCAATCAGAAAGTTAACCAGGAACCGAGGCTTGGTTTTGCAGGAAAAATTGGTGGTAGAGAACTCACCTGAGAATGACAATACTGAAAGAACTGCTGCTATTCGAAAAGGGAAGCGTAAGATTGTCTGAGATTTTCTGACTTTTACAGAATTTGGATTGGTTCAAAAGTTAGTCAATTTCCTGTTAGAGTTGTGTATGCTATAGGATTTGTATAGGCATCCGTAGGGAATCTTTTCTAGTATACATCCACATATTTTTACTTGAGATACTAGACACTGTGTGTTCCCATTTCTAATATCTAATTGGAGAAGGGAGGATAGATGTCAAAGGGGGAAGCCAAGAAGGAAATGAGACCTGACGTACCTTTCGAACAGGTGGTGACGATAGGAACATGGCATTGCTCCTTTCTTGTTGGTTTCCTGCCGAGATGTATAGTATATTCGGTTGTGTGAAATAGCAATCCTTGAACTGATGTCTGCCTTCCGTTGTTACCCAAGTTTTCCAGAAAAATTAATCTACTTGTTGATATCCGATTGTAGTTTGATAATTTTTTTTTTTAAGGATTATGTAAATTTTCTTGTCATATGTCAAAATGCTGCATTTTGAGCTTCTTTATTCTCATCACCATTGAACTTTCACTGAATCATGGGAGCTCAGAAATAGGATTATAACCGGCAGATACTCATTTGTTTTTTTTTTTTTTTAATTTATGTAACTTGAAATTTTTGTATGTTCGCGTTGATACTATGCTAACAGTTTTCTCTCAGAACAAAAAAAAAGATGATTTTATATAAAATGATAATCATAAAATTACAGATACTGAGTTATTTGATAGGAAAAGTTGATTTGAACCCAAATTTTAATGAAAGTAAATCACAATGACCGAAGAATGTGCTTTTAGCCTTAAACCTGATAGAATCGTGATAAATATTTTCTGGACCCAAAATGTTCGATTATGTCTCATCTTAAAACTAGTGCTCTGAATCTAATTATTTTCTTTTGTCACACTATTAAAAGAGAACTTACTAAAAAAGAAGAGTTGCTCGAGGAGGAAAATTCAAAAAAATGTGTAAAACCCAAGATATCGATTCTGTTAGTCTTGCACATATCATCTTTACTTATCTTTCGGTATCTCAAGGCTTTCAAAAATCGGGCCGTCCACCTCCAACACCCATTTCATTAAAGCCCATTGTCTGCGTATGCAACCGCTTCGGCGAGACACGAAAGGAAGGCTCCTCTGTTCAATAACATTACTTGGAATATTCATTAATTACAGTAAAAATGAGATTTAAAGGGAAAGTAGACAACCCACTGGTAGTTATTTCTGTAAAACGCACTAGCCGTCGAGTAATCAATCATCATGTCCATAAATTCAATTGCCTGCTGCTCGGTTTCTTGATGGCCCTGTTTCTAATTGTGCAAGTTCGGGCGCAAGTGGTCTCATTTGAAGATATTTGAGCTTTCTATGGAAACCAAGGCTACGTTTGGAGTAACAAAATTCAGTTTATGGAATTTATTTAAAAATTTATACTGGTTGAGAGAGAAAAATTTCTCACAGTGATTTGAGTTTTCATATAAATTCAAGTGGAGTTTGGGTGATGCATTTTACACGTTGTTAAACTGAAAATGTTTGAAACATATTATCTCAACTTTACTTCAAATGATCTACAACCTCAATTTTAAATCACTTCCTAAAAGGTCCAGAGTTGTAGTTAAAATCATTATGAGTTTATGAAATGATTTTCGCAAATAACTTTTATTTATTCCAAATATACACGAAAGTTATGGGGATAGCACAGCTCTTTCAACACAATAACAAACTAACACAAAGCCAACAAGATTATCCATTTATAAAATACACTTGCAAACTTCATATAGAAATGGAATTAAGAACTTTGAATTTTATAAATTTTAATAAACTTGACAAACGTTAGTTAAATTTTGAACAAAAAATGAAATCAATTTTTTTGTCATTCTAATACAATTTATAAAAACATAATTTTTTAATTGAAACTAAACATAACTTTGCCAATAAACTTCTACCCATTTTTTATGTTTGTTCCAATAATAAACTTAAATAGCTTTTTTCAGAAAAAAAGAGTTCTCGTACCTGCAGATATTGTGTTCATTCTAATTCTGTGGTTTCTTCCAGCCTTAGAAGCTACGACCTAAAGAATCAATAAAATGTTGCAAACATATCAACCACTGACTGAAACTAAATCCACCCCAACCACCCACATGAGATAAACAACACGCAGAGAAATAAGACTCACTCGCGTGTTACTCTCAAGAGCAGCCTTTGCAGAGCTCATGCCACCACTATATCTGCAACACATATACCAGATTACTCCAGATGACAGAAAAGTTCCCGAGCTCTATAAACAGAATTCTATATACAGAAAACAAAGGATCTGCTGCTCATAAGTCATACCCAGGAATGATACTTTCAGATACAATATAAGTTAATGACATGGAAGCACCAGCTGAAAAAAAAAAAATCAAAGCTTATGAAGATCTGTTGGTTAACGTTTCGGGAGTATTTAATATCTTAATAAACACCATATTTTTATATTAACAAACGAGTAAATTCGAATTGAGATCTTAAAGTTTCTTATAAAACAGTAAATAAGCAATCTCCAATGCTTTCTGAATATTTGTAGAGATTAATACGAAAATTGATATTGATGCAGCATGCCTAGATTCATTACCAGAACAAAATGCTTGAGCAATGACATAAAGGAGTAAGTTGGGGCAGAAAGGGCCTGCAAGATATCCATTCCTTGATATCTCCAGAAGAAGCTTGCTAACATGTGTGGCTAATGGTTTCCCTCTTTAAGCACCATGAAAGTGTTTGAATGTTGAAAAAAAAAAAACGAGTACTAAAGACTTGACAGTAAACCTCTTGGCCCATTTGCAAGGGAGTCCACAAGGATGTCAACAGTTTAGTGGCAAATGTGTTCAATTTACAGTTCGTTAAAGAAGGGTGCCACTACAGTACAGTACATTACCTTGGAGGCATTCCCTCGGTAATGTTTTAATATTTGATGTTATGTTAGTAACTTTGTAATTAGAATCAAATAACTACATAATATTAAGTGACCGCTGCAAAGTTATTTAATTATTATAAAATATTAAAAATTAGCACAAATTTCACTGGTACAAAAGAAATATGGAAAATATGGAAGGCCAACAAGTCTTGATAACTTGGTAGTACGAAGTCACTCTGGAATGAATTTATATTTTGCATCTTTCAAAAGGTAAGGAAAAGGAAAAGTAAGCATAAGATTTTTCTTTCTTACTTTTCTTTTTAAAGAAATTCATATGAGGATAAGGTTGATTAATCTACATGTTGCAAGCTGCTCACTGGGTTTACAACCAAATCCCCAAAAGAATTTGTCAAAGCCTTTCAATATTACTTCTTTTTTTACCTAAAAGAAAAAAAAAGGGTCCAAACCTGTATTGGCTTCAATTCCACTATGCACCTAAGTGAACTTCTGTAACTAGGGTCTGATGCTTTGTTTAGAGACAAAAATTCTCCAGAAAAACACTCAGAAACCTTGCAACTCTAATTGAAAGAGAGATTACAAAAATATTTACCTTCAAAGTCCAATTTGAGGACCCTGAATATCGTTTGTTTTTTTTTTTTCACCTGCAGAAGACAATAGATAAAGGCTATCACCATCATTATTGGACTAGGATTTAAATATTCTCTTCCAGAAAGTACACTGGGATCATCATGCTTTCATCTTCAAGAACATCCTCAGGGCTATCATAAACTGCTTCCAACGGATAAACTTTGGTTATTTCCATCAAAGAACCATCTGGCAATGTAAAGCAATGAATCCCAAATATTAGAGAGAGATGGAATTTTTTTTTTCCAAAAAGAAAATGATTCTATTAAATCCTCTCCGAAGGATTGCTTGAACAAATTGCTCTCAGAGACTGCTCTCCAAAATGTTAAGCGCCTAAACAGAGATGAACATTTTGTATCAAAAACTGCAAAAATTCCATTGTTAATATCAACTTACATACAAGCGTGTATGTACCAACAAGAATTTCAGCACCAGCTGCAGCTAGAGATTTTGCTATTGCTTAACCATATTCATTGTCATCCGCCACTCCAGCAATAAATGCTCTCTTGCCTGCAAAAATTGGATTGATACATTTTTAGACAGCTTCGACTTTTCAATATTAATTTTTCAAAACTATTCACCGGAACATCTAAAAGTGAAAAGCTATTGTTCATAATTACGTTGAGTTTGTTTAAATTCTTTTTCAATTGCTAATCACTTTTTACTTTTGACTTTCATACTAGTTTATGTAATATTAGACCATCGCCCCACCTGCAGCTTGAATTCATACCATCAAAGTAGGGGGATGGTGGTATTTACCACAAATCATATTTTAATTACACATATTAGAACTAATGTTTCTCCTGGGTAGAATTTGACTAAAAATTAAATGAAAATTTAACCAAAGACACCTTATGAGCTCTAGCTTACTGTTTTAACATCAAAGCAAAAGAAGAGTTTGGCAAAGAAAATTAGATGTATGACCTCTCAAATCAATAGGCAATCCTGACGAAGGCTTGTCCTCGTTCAACGAAGACACTGCTTTGGTAACAACTTTCTTAGAATTTACAGGTCTGCAACAATGGCTGCCGTAATGATAAGTGAGCAGAGCAGGACAACATTGTAAGTGACGCCGCTTTATTCTTCCAACTTAAATTGGCGGGGATTGAAGAGAACAATTTGTGAGCATAAAGAAATGCAAGTTATCGTCGTTTCCACGTATGTTCCAGATGTTGCCGCGAGGACAGCCATTCTTATTCACTGGAATTCTCATAAGCAAGAAAACTCTGTAGACTGAATTTGCTTTTCTACTTTCACAGAGAACAAGTAACAAGTTTCCATCAGAGCTCGTGTAACCGAAACACGTAGAAGAAAACCTAAATTGAAAATGGAAAAAGAATCAACCGATTAGAAAAAATTTAAACTACAATTTAACATGAACTACAAAAAGAATCCGGTTGTGGAGAAAGATCTGAAACCGACCTGTTTGGCGCCGAAAATTGTTTCAGGTATTTGGAGGCTTGTTTGGCAACAAGAATAAAATTTAGGGAGTGATTGAGTTGATGTGATTCCATCTTACGGATGTGTACAGAAATTTTCATGGATACACGTGGAGTACTCTGTGTATGATGCGTCGATGAAATCGAAGTTGTTCGCGTTGGTGACGACGGTGTTGGTTTTTGCATGACTGTAACTGCTGGGCTTGGCGTTAGGAATTGCAGAGGAGTTTGTTTTGGTGCGTAGCTGAAATGACAGGTCTGCCCCTAGTTGAAACCCTGTACTTTTATAATTTATTTAAATTAGTTAGTTAGTTACTCAATTTTTATCAGTATTTTTTCAAAATTCCTAATTTACCCTATCAAATAAGAAGATTTAAATTGTTTTATTATTAAATTAAATAGAATATTTAATTATTGACCGCTGTGTATTATTTGAAAGAAAGTTAAGCAGCAGTCACGATTATAAAACTTTTCTCGCTATAAATTTAGCCCAGCGCGCCGACCATGCGCCGAATTTAGACCGAATTCACAGAACTTAGACAGAAATTTGAAACGACAACCTCGTTTAACTAAAAATGTAATTAGAATTTGATTAAGCATTTCTTAATTCTGACGAGTCAAATTAAAATTTGACTAAAGGGTTTTAATAACACTTTCATGGGTTCTTGGAGACGTCCAAATTCCGCCTTAACCATTTTTCTATCTAAAAGTAGTTTTCTGGAAAAAATTAACGTAAATGTGCCACTTTTTTATTCGATAATAACTGCGGAAACTAGCAACATTACAAGACACATTAGGAAACCACGACCCTACAGACAGATAGATTGACTTCGACGCTGATTTTGACCTTTAAACATTATTTTAGGAAAAGAAAAATAAAAAACACGACCAGAGACAAAATACCCATCACTGTCTTAACTATAGGTACCGCCAGTGCCATACCCTGCCGCACCACCTCCCACGCGGGCGTTATGGGCCGTGGTGCCGCCTGTCCCAGTGTTTGTCCCAATAGGGTGGGACCCCACCGTCCCCTCCACCACTTCCGCCGTGGGCTGCCCGCTCCCGTGGCCCGGCACCGCTGACATTTGATGCGGGCCCGTTGGCTGCCCGTGAGTTCCCGTTGTCGAATACGTCGTCGTTCCGGTACTGCCCGTCGTGTAGCCCTTGTTGGCGCCAGCCTGCCTTGCCGCCGCGTTGTGCTCGCGCACTTCTTGCTTGTTGAGCTCTGCCTCGGCTTTCCTCTCTTCTTTCTTTTGGGTCGCCATTTCTTTCTCAACTGGGTCATGTGCTGTCATTCTCTCCACCTGTACGGCACAGCAGGCAACAGCCACCCCCCACCATTATTCCTTTTTTTTTAATATATTAATAACTAAAACATACATTTCCGATCGCCTTAATGAGAAGCAACCGAATATTTTTAAATAGTTATTTTACTAAATTATCATAAGATAATTACCAATTAATCCAACATTATTTTATTAATAAAATCGACTAATCAAAGTATATAATGATTTCTATTTCTTCTATCTAAATCACCTTCTCCTGCATAGCGGCTTTGGTCTTCTCCATGCCAGCCTTAGCAGAGGCGGCAACGTTGGATGCCTTTTCCTTCGCAGCCTGCATTTTTCCTTCGCTTTCTCTTTCGGACAAACAGTAATCAGTACCCAAACAAAACTGTTAACTTGTTCTACGTCGAATGAAATTAACCGCTAATCTCTATGCACTAAATAGGCTAACGGGTTTACTGGGTTGCTGCCACGTGTAATAAGAGCAGGATACTCCTAGAGTTACTGGGTTGCTGCCACGTGTATTGGAGAAGGACACGTGGGAGACTATGAATATTCCTTATTGCGTACGACGACACGTATTGGGCACGCGTCCGATGCTCCCGACTGCGTGGAAGATTTGCAGTTAGATAAGTTTTATCGGATTGTTACATGCACGGTTCAGAAGATGTGAGGCGACACGAACTGTCGGTTGCGACTTGTGTCGTGTCGTGTCCGCTCTCTTCGATGTTTGAATCGTATCTGTTTTTGCCTTTGGGTTGGATACTTCCCTACGGTAATTACTTGTATCAGATTGTAAAACGACGCCGTTCCGGGGAATTATGGTTATATTTTTTCTAGAACTTAATATATATTTGTTTTGATTAACAATTATTTATTTATTTATATAAATATGACTATTTTTTTCAGGAAAAAAAAAAAAAAAAAGTCTTGGGAGTTCAGACCGTATAATTAGAAGTCAAAGAGCCAAATTATGTGGCAGGACGAGACCAATTCCCAATGAAAAAGTCATCATCTTATCTTGATAAAACGCACCGTTTTGTTTTAAATTTTGTAATAAATTACAAGAAGCTTCTTTTACTTTTTATTTCTTTTCAATTTTCCCCGCAATCTGCATTTTTTAATTTTTTTTTTTGCTCGAATTATAAATATAACTTGAAACAATTGAATTTTTATTTTTTAAATTGATAATTTTAAATAATAATACCAACATATTTATCATTTTTATTTAATAAAAATTTTATGTTTTACACAAATATTTCGTTATTTAAACAATTGTATTTTTTATATTAATATTATTATATGTTATATTAAATCATATTTATTTATTTATTTATTTCTTCATCTTACAAATTGTAATTGTGTAAACAAATTGCATGACATTGTGAAAATAAAAAATAAAATTTTGGATCCGTTTAGTATAGAAAAAAACATATACATAAATCATATAACAACAAAATATAATATAATAATAATGACGTTTAAAATTTTAAACTATTTTAATTATCTTTTTATGTATTAAATGGGATTTATTTTCTATTTTAATGTAGTATGTAACTTAGTTTCTTTATTTAAAAAATAAAAAATATTTTATTTAGTTCGAAAAATCAAGTTATAATTTAATGTAAAAATTTAAACAGTAATAATATAAAGTACATATTTATTAAAAAATAAAAAATAAATGTGATCAATTAAATATCCAATTATTTCTACAAACAGTTAAAAAAAATATTTTTATACATTTTCACCATTATTAAACATAATAACATGGCAATTAAAAAAGAAAAATAATTTATACCTATAATATAATAGTTTAATTGCAAAACTTATTGTAATATTATTAAAAATTCATAAGTATAAATTTCATTAAATATGTATAATTCATAAATTCGCATATAAACTATAAGTTGATGGTACTAAATTTACATAGTTAATTCAACATGACATAGTGTTTAACTTATTTATATACTATTACTACTAAATTGAACAATATTTATTATTTGATTAAATTTTTTTGTTATAGTATCAAAAAGTTCAAGTTGCCATTTATTCATAAAACTATATACAAAAATGATTTTCGATTTACCAACATTTCTTTTTTTTTGTTTGGAATCTAATTATAATTAAAAATATATAAATTATTTATAAAAAAATTTTATAATTTAATATTATAAAAAGTACTAAATAACTCAAAATTTAATTATGTAAATATAATATAATTAATTATATTTCACTCGTAGTAAGCTATACTCGTAATCGAAAAACGATTCAAAATTTTATTTAAGTAAAATTTTGAGAAAAAAATGAATTAGAGACAAGATTAAAAATAATTTTTTTAAAAAATAGTAAAAATTTTGAATCGATAGATGTTTTTGAAAGAAAAATTAGAAACAAGAGGTCAAAGTACAAGAGAAAGTTCGACCACGTAAGATTGCCCAGTCAGCAGCTCCGACGAACCGGAGCACGTCACGTGACAAGGCACACTGACATCGGTGCCACGCGGGAGGCCACACGACCGATCCGCGTGTCTCGCGATCGAATGGCTCAGGAAAGACCCTGCGCTCATGGACGGCCCGGATTCGTTGCCCTCTTGTGTGTGATCAGACAGTCGAGATCAATCACGATGAACAATCCAAATTTGTTTTCTCCTTAAGCGTAATCGGACGGACAAGATCGATCGTGATGGACGACCCAAATCAACCCATGATAGTTATAAATACTTCACATCACACGGGAACCCAACTCTAGCCGCCAACCCGTATTGGTGAAGAAGAACCAAACACTGGAGAATGAGACCGATCGCCGACCGTCGCCGCATTGGAGCCACTATTGACCTCCAAAAAAGGTAAAAATTATCTCTACCCGCTCAGAATTCAATTTCGAGCACCTTTGTGGGCAAATCGGAGTAAGAGAAACGACGGATGAGGCAAAAACTGCGAGAAAGATTCGGGGAAGTCACTGCGGCCAAAATCTCAAAATACTTATGAAGAGCCCCTTTTTGCTTTCCCGTTCTACATGATTTTTCAATCATTGTGTTCACCGTCATTTTCTGTACAAGTTAGCCGAAGAAATAATTTCAGCTGCAAATGATGACCAGTAGATCCGCCACACCTGGAGGTTCTTCCCACCAGTAGATTCGATTTTTTATTATTTTTTGGCCAATTGAGTCCTATATACTTTTTTTTTGCGGGGATACATACAAAATAGGCTAAAACCAGCATAACCGAGGTGAACTGCTACCATGGGCGGTGGAGCCGGCGCTAGAGCACGGCGGCGCTGCCATGTCGGAACTCCAAAATTTTTCAGAATGAGATTTTTATACCGAGTTTGGATTTTTTGAGTATTTTTATGTATGTGACGAGTATCTTGTATTTCATACGCAAAATTCATAAAACTTGGTACCCGTTAAGAGGTGTAGTAGACAGTTTAACGTCTCAAAATACCGATATGGGTAAAAATCTCTCACCTTATTATCCATTACAGTAAATTAAGATTTAACGATGTATAATTTTTTATTTTTATAAAAAAATTAGAAAACCCTACAAATAATTACAAATTACTAGTAGAAGCATAACTGGTTAGTTCATACTTGTATTAATTTCCTGTTTATTTTCTTATACTGTCATGCTTGTTTGATTTTTGTATAATATATGTTATTAATTTATAGTTCAATGATTTTATCGATTTATCTAGTTACTCAATCTTTTGTTATAATAAGCTATATTGTCTGCATAAATGTTATTTAATTGATTTGTAAATGTAATATGAGATATTAATATGCGTTTGTTGATTGTTTGTTGATGGAAATCTATATGTGAACGACTTACTGGGTACATAGAAAAATGATAAACGAGCCCGATACATAGAAAACTCTATTATGAACATTATCTCAGTCGGACGGAGCTAAGAAGTCCCTTAAGATAAATGTTTTGGAGATATACTTCACCCTCATACTGGATAAGGTATCGATGCAATTGAATATTTGGTGCCAATTACTGAAAGGGGTATGAGAACGGCCGATTAATTGTAAATTGGATATTCGGTTTACAAGTAGGGGAAACATTTCTATGGATCCCGATGAGTACTAGTAAGCATGTAGAGACCCAGAACTTAAAAAATAAAAAATAAAATCATAAATTAAATGCGAAAACAAAATAATATAGTTTAAGGTTTACATTACTTACACAATAATTTAGAATGCCTAATATAGTTACATCAATATCCTTTATAAAATAATAAACGAAAATAACAAAATAAACAAAAAATAATATACTGAACATTATAATACGACCTTCACTAGCTTTTGAATGTAATTTAGATGGTGAATTAGTCACAACCCTCTTTTTTATCGGAATTTTTGTTTTGGTCCTCTTGATCGGAAATAGTTAATAAAAGAGTGAACTACATTATCCTAGTAAAGATATCACACTACTCACCGATACAGAAACTGAATGTTGGTAAAAATCATAAAAACAAACAATAGAGCTCTTGATTTAAGTAAATTCATTTATAATAAGGAAAATCATTTATTGCATATTTTTACCGTTACGAAATTTCCAACATCGACCTATAGAGACAATAACTCAAATAACATTTTAGTCTCATATTCAAGTGACCAATAACAACAACTTTTTTTTTTATTTGTCTACTGGTATCCTTGAGGATCCATAGGGATGTCCCGCTATGTGTGCACCAATATCTAACATTGTCAATTAACCGATCGTCCTCATATCCCGTCTGATATAAACACTAAAAATACCATCCCTCAATCCCTCGTCCAGTATGAAAGTAAATCAGGTCGTCTCCATACTTCGTCTGGTATGAGCGCCAAAAATGTCATTCCTCGATATCTCGTCCGATATGAGGCAACATTCACGGTAGGATTTTCTATGTTCCCGATATATCAACCATCTCTCAGAATATCCAGTAAGACTACCATTCATTAATTCACATGACCAAATAATTTTTTATTTGCATATTAATTTTTAATTTCATAAATCAACTGTAAATCACGCAAGAGAAGAGATATATGTATTAAAAAAGTACAACTTAATCATTTAACCATTCCAATATATTATCATCTATTTAAAATTGTAAATTTAATAATCAGTTAAATAGGACAAATAAATAACTAACTGATTTCAGCTCCATTAGTAATATATAATTATTCTCAAAGTTTTCTAAATTACACAAAATACCATATTATCGATTATTAAGTTTCAATTTCATAACAGAGAATAAGGTGAAGAATTCTTACCCAAATCGGTGTCTGAAATATCAAACTTTCTACTGCACCTACTGACAGTCTCCGAGTTTTTTGAATTTTTTTGCGGAGATTAAAACACGTTTCACGTACATAAAAATACCTCAAAAACTTAAAATCGGTGTGAAAAATCTTTTTCTGGCCAATTTCAGGGTTTCGATGATGACACTACCTCTCGCGACAGTAGTTTGCCTCAGCCTGGCCGTTTTTGATTAGTTTTGGTCGGTTTTGGCCGATTTTATAGTCATCCTTGCGAAAAAATACTTTAAGAAGTCTCAGTTGACCGAAAAAGTCAAAAAATAGAAACTTACTGGTGGTGAAATTTTTCGGTGTGGCGACTCTGCTAGTTCACCTTCGCGGCCGTGTATTTTTTTTTTCAGTAAACTTCTTTTGGCTGTCAAAGGTGGCTCTGACACGATGACGATTGTCAATCGGCTCATTTCTCTAGTGACTAGTTCTTCTCCTTTGGTGGTGGACTAACGACTAGGGTTTGGTTTCAGTGTGATGCGAAATATTTATATACATTTTGCGTTAATCTAGGCCGTTCATCGTGTTTTGTCTTAACCATTTGATCTCATTTAAATAGGAAATGAATCTGAACCGTTTATCGTGATTTGATCTTGATCGTCCGATCGCGTTTAAAGATGGAATAAATATGGACCGTTCATCTCGTTTGATTGTGACCGTCCGATCGCATTTGAAGATGGAACAAATCTGAACCGTCCACGCACGCGATAACACTTCTGGGTCGTTTGATTGCGGGGCACGTGGGTCGCTAACGTAGCCTCCTATGTGGCATCGAGTCAGCCTGCCTTGCCACGGAGCACGCTCCAATTCATCGATATTATGACTAGGCGGTCCTACGTGGCAAAATTTTGATTAATTGTGTCCTAACCTCTAATTTTTTATTTTTCTTTTAAATATATCATCCGAACCCAAATTTTCACTTATTTTTCCAAAATTGTTTTCAATTTCGTTCTTAACCTATTTTTTTTCCATAATTTTACATTAAATTAAAATTTATTAATTTTAAAAATAGATTTTTATACCTTTTTTAATATTAAAATTAATTCCGAACTAAATATCGGGCCTGAGTATTACAAAGCAGGTAAAAAATAAAAGTTATCGTCTCTTATTCTTTAATGCATGAAATTAAAAAGTAATATAGATATAGGTTTTCATATATTGTTTTTAGAAAATATGTTACGGTAAATATCAATCATAAGTTGTGTTTGAAAAATTCGTTAGGCTAAGTATTAAACAAACGTTTTCAAGTTTAAATGTATTTAAATAAAACAATAGCTCCATTAGTTATTTATCTGATTTTTACCAAATTTCAGTTTCCGTATTTGTGATTAATGTGACATTTTTACTAGTTTAGTGTATCTCACAATTTTATTAACTATTTCAAATCAAGAGGATCAAGATTCAGATCCCGATCAGAAAAAAAGTTGTAAGTAGTTCACTATTCGGACTTTCTTTAAGTGCTAGTGAATGTTGTCATATAATACTTAATTATTCGTTTTTCGTTTTATTTTCTTAATTACCATTTTTTTTAATAAAAGATATTTCTGTAATCCTATTGAGCATTTAAAATTATTGTGTAAGGAATGTAAAATTTAACTCTATTAATCGCTTTCACATTTAATTTATAAATTTATTTTTATTTAAGTTATGGATATTTACATATAATGTTATAAAAAAATAATAAATATTTTTTTTAATGTTCGTGTATTTAAGAAATTAAAAATTATAAATCAAATAAAATGAATGATCGTTATCCAATACAAGTGTATTATGCCTTGTTTACTTTAATATAATAATATGAATAAGAATTATCATATAAAGTTAATACTACGGAAGTTTTGTTTATTTTATATAATAATATGAATAATAAATTATCATATAAAGTTAATAATAGGAAGTTTCGTTTATTTTATACAATAATATGAATAATGAGTTATCATATAAAGTTAATAATACTGAATTTTTTATTAGGTTCATTATGACAATATAGCTAATATGATATCTTTTTAAAAATTTTCAAGTAATTATTTTTCATTATTATTTTATATTTTATGTACTAAAAAATTAAAATTTAAATTGAAATAGAGGTTGATTCGTTAATTGTTTTTCTTATTTAAATTTATAAAGTACCTTTTTACAAATTTTTTTAAAAAATAATAATTATATATTTATTTTTATTCAAATAAACTTTGTATTTACATTTTATATGTATCTATCTTTCTTCTTTTCAACAATCATAATTTCATTACATTTATGTGAAGTGACGATGATGAAATCTCGTTTTAAATGAGTAATTTTAAAAATCAATTTTAATAACAATTTATTAAAGGCACTATTACAAAATCATTGTTTTATTGCTGAAATTCAAATATATATATATATATATATATATAAATGTTTGAATTCATAGGAATAATATAATACTATTACTACAGTTCCCTAATAAGAGTAAATTAACTAACTAATAAAATTAATTAATTAATTAATGTTTTATTAAAATATAGTTAAAATGAACTATAATTATGTAGTAACTGAAAAAAAAAGAAAAAAGAAAAAAAAGGGGGAAAAAGAGGGAAACGACGTCGTTTTGAGAGGCAGGTGAGGTATAAATCGGAGAAGGGAAAGAAAAGAAAAAAAAAATAGGAAAGAAAAAGATAAAAAAAAAGAAAAGAGAAACAGAGAAGAGAGAGGGCGGGGAGGAAAAAGAAATAAAGAAAAGAGAAAACAGAGAAGAGAGAGAGCGGGGAAGGAAAAGAAGGTTCGAGAAAGAGAGAGAGAGAGGAGCCGGAGAGGGGAGGAATGAGAAGGGAGAGAGAAGAAGAAAGAGGACGGTGACGGTGCGATCAGCGGAAGGAAGGAAGATGGAAATGGGAGGTACAGTAATTTTAAGTTTCATTTTAGTTGATGTGGATTTGAAAACTTGCCATAGGTGGAGGAGTTGGTGTGAGTGTGAGTGGAGGTGTGCGGAGGAGACCGCGGAAGGAGAAAGAAGAACAAGTGTGGCGTGGGAGAGAGGTCTGTGAGGGAGAAGTGA